GCATGTTTTTTCAACACTTGTTTGGTTGCTTGGGTGCAGAAAGAGTGTAGGTAGAAAGTTGAGTTAAAGTAAAGATTAACATAGCAAACAACCTTTTCACTGCATCGCTGAGCTCATGAAAAAATAAAATTCTCCAGGTATCAAAAATAAGTAAGGGGCAGAAAACCAAAGTAGTAAAATAAGGCCACATCTGCCCTGAGGGCAGAGGAAATCAGTCTTGTACTTGGGCCTGTTTTGGACTGAAACGTGTTTCCCCAAAGTATGTGTTGGAATCTTAACCTTCAGACCTGTGGAATAGGGTTGTTTGGGATTAGGGTTTATCTGTCATGTTAACGAGGCCATATCAATGTAGGATTATAAGAAGCAGAGAATACACAGAGGCAGACACATACTGGGGAAGATAAATGCCAGGTGAGATCACCAAGAACCAGGCAATGCCCAGGGCTGATGACAAAGGCTGAATCCCCTGCCTGAGATCCTGATTTGGACTTTTAACCAACCCTGTTGTGGTTGAGTCAATTCCAGCTCATTGCGACTCCACATGCCAGAGTAGACCTGCACACTGTAAGGTCTGCAATGGTTGTTATCTTACAAAAGTAGACTGCCAAACCTGTCTTCTATGGCACCACTGATTGGACTCAAACTGCTAACCTCGTGCTTAGCAGCCAAGCACAAGCTGTTCGCACCACTCAGGGACCTATTAGCTTCCAGAACTGTGCAAAAACAAATTTCCATTCTTTAAAGATGCCTACTTGTACTATTTGAGTTATAGCAGCACTAGTTAACTAAGACAAGTCTCCTAGCTAAAACGAGAATCCTTAAAGGAATACATTTCCTTGTACCCATTACAATACCAAAACCAAAACCAAACTCGCTGCCGTCGAGTCGCATCCGACCCATAGCAACTCCTCCTTGGGCTTCCGAGGCGGTATCTCTACAGAAGTAGATTGCCCAGCATTCCTTCCAAGGAGTGGCTGGTGGTTTTGAACTGCCAGTCTTCTGGTTAGCAGTCAAAGACTGTAGGCATTACATCAGCAGAGCTCCTCATTACAATACAGTCTTTCAAATTCTACACTACCAGTAGTAGTGCTGGCAGTTCAAACCCACCAGCCATTCCTCGGAAGGAAGATTGGGCAATCTACTTCCGTAGTGATACCACCCCAGAAACCCAAGGAGGGGTTGCTGTGAGTTGAATCTGACTTGACGGCAGGGAGTTTGGAGGTTTTTTTTTTTGAGTAGTGATGATGTAAAACCATTATTTCCAAATTTAAGAAATATCTGATATTTTAATCATTAGCACCTTGAGGCATTCATAGTTAAAATTAAACATGGGTTATGTAAATTATTATTGATTTTCTTAAATTTTATGAAGATGACAGTCCACTAAGTGAAGTTTCTACCATGAAAATGATTCTTACTCTGGCTCAAGACTTTTTGGAACAAGTGGAATATGAACACAGTAGAAATGAAATTCCAATGAACTACAATTTTCTTTTATAAACCATATTAGAAAGACAATGGAAAACTAGAAATGCTTTCTTTAAAAAATAAAAATAAATAAAATAATAAAAGGGCTATAATCCCAACAACAATTATTTAAAAAGGTGAAAGCTGTGGAAGAAAGAGACAGAAGGAATTTAAAACTGAACTATGTCTATCTTTTCACTATTACTCTAATAGTGCTTATTACTCTAAAAGGGCCTTGTAGGAAGCTGAGAAAATGTGCACAAAAATACTTTGCAACTCAATGATAATACCATTAATAAAATTTGCTGTTTTTTGAAAAAGCTCAATTATTTCATTTGCAATTTTTCATGATTAAATTTTCTTTACCTTTTTTATTAACTGTTTACTAGTTTAAATAATACAGTTACATTTACATTTTTATTGAATAGTGGTGTTGGCAAAGAATATCAAATGTATCATGGACTGCCAGAAGAAGGGTGAACAGATCTGTCTTGGAGTAAGTATAGGCAGAATGCTCCTTAGAAGTGAGTATGGCAAGAGTTCATCTCACATACTTTGTATATATTATCAGGAGGGACCAGTTTCTGGAGAAGGACATCATGCTTGGTAAAGTAGCATGTCAGTGAAAAAGAAGACCCTCAATGAGATGGACTGACACAATGACTGCAATAATGGGCTTTAACACAGGAATGATTGAGAGGATGGTGTAGGACTGAAAAATGTTTCATTCTGTTGCACGTAGGGTTGCTATGATTAGAAGCAACTCTACAATACCTAACAATCACAGGCAATCCCAGTTTAAGAAATTATATCTTAGTGATTCTAGATGGTAGCACCACAGGTTTCTTGGCAAATACACCTTGGAAAAACACAGGCTTCACTAGACCTCACAGAATTTCCACAGGTAAAGAAAGCCCAACCAAACATAAACACTGAATCCAAATGTTGAAGCACACAAGAAAACAAACTGGTTATGAGGAGAAAGCAGCAGAAAAAACAAACAAAAAAACAACACAGCATTATCAGATCCTCAAGGGGGTCAGATAATTAGATTTTATATTCTTTATCTTTTAAATGTAGCTTAAGAGATTAAAAGACACAAACAGGAAATCTAAGACATAATCAAAGAGTAGGATGTTATAAAACATTATCAGACAAATCTGACACACATATATACACAAAACCACCAGAAGCTCTAAAATGAGAAATACGATGATCAAAATAAACAATCCAATAGGTTAAATAGCAGCTGTGAAAGACTTGCTAAGAGAAAGTGAAGAACTAGAATAAAGATCTGAAGAGATTACCCAGAGTGCTGCAGAGAGAAACTGAGAAAGAAACTGAGACATGGAATAACAGTGTAGAATTAAAAAATAGAAGGTCTGTTAAAAATTCAGAATTGATTATAATTGGAAGCTTAAATTAATTTCATGTGTGCATGTGTGTGTGATTTGGGTGAATGTTTACATTGGTTTTCCATTCAACAATCCATATAGATTTTGTTTTGGGACACTGATTGTAATACCCACAATGTAAAAGGATGTGTGTTTTTTACGAAAGTTTCCAATATCATTATACGGGAAAAAAAAAAAAGGCTGGAAAACATTTATAAAATATTTACCTTATAGGTACAAAAGAATATAAATAATGTTGAATATTTATAATTCTTATTCTGTAACAAGTTACCATACAATTGAGTCATTTGTTTGTGAGAAACTCTTGCTAACCAGAAGGCTGCTAAATCCCCAGCCACTCCTTGGAAGGAAGGCTGGGCAATCTACTTCCATAGTGATACCACCTCGGAAACCCAAGGAGGGTTGCTATGAGTCAGGTCCAACTCAACGGCAAATAACAACAACAACTTCAATGATGTTAAGCCTTGGGACCAAAATACTTATTTACTCATTTGTTGACAAAAATACATTTTCTTACTGAATGTTTGAACTAAATAACTATGTTTTATAATATTATCTATTAGGGCTTTAGTAATCTTGTTACCATGAACTCAGCTACTATACACCAAACTCACTGCAGGAGCAGCTGGTGGGTTTGAACAGCCAACCTTCCCATTAGCAGTCAAATGCTTTATCCACTGTACCACCAGAACTCCTAAATACTTGTGGGAGTAGACTGCCCCCATCTTCCTTCTGCAGAGTGGTTTGAACCGCCAACCTTCTGGTTAGCAGTCAAATGCCTTAGGCACTGAACCACCAGAGAGCTCCTTCTGTGCCTATCCCTGTGAAGTCAGAAAATCCACCTGTTTTCCTCTTGTACTAATAATGACAAAATAATAAAATAAAGGTAACAAAGTACAGCAGAATACTTTAAAGTGCCATAAATTTTGTCTACAAACGAATGCAAAGAACCAGTCTTAAAAGGAGCTAGCAATCCTGGCTGACAATTTTTGGAACTGATGCAAGACATAAATCCACATATTCATGAAGCAAAACAAATCCTAAACAGAATAAATACAAATAAACCACATCGATGAATGATGCTATTAATTTAGGCAGCAAAATAAAAGCAAACAATGAGAACCAGAAGAATAGTATCTCTCAACCAAGACTCCACAAGCAGTTGAACTAGCATTCAAGAATAAAAGTAAAAAAATCAAAATATGTTCAAACTAGCAGTATATCAGTGCTGGACATAGTAACTGAAAAGAAAGGCAGACAGTGACTGAAGATATTATGTTATAGAGATTGTGATTAACTTCAGATTTTTAGTTAAGTAAACATGTTATTTAACATGAACCCTAAGACAAGTAAATAGACTATTTTTTAAGGCAACAGAAGAAAAAACAAATTAAGTAATTGAATGATAAATTCACGCTTTCTAACTTTACCTGAGTCCTCACTGTGGCTAGCCACTTCTTTCCTTCAGCTGTGCCTCTGTCACATTTCCTGCTGTCACTAGTTCCAACATTTTCAACCTGAGTGCTTCCTCTAATACCCCCATCCCCGTTCTATAAGATAATTATCTACAAGGTAACTTTCCTTACCATGTCACTACAGGGGTGTTTTCAGTTGTCTGTAGTAGTCTGTGTATCATCATCTGCCCTATGTAACAGTAACAGCCTCTTCTCACAATTGAACCTTTTACCTTTCTACACCGACTACCTCTTCTGCTTCCTACAAATGTGCTGAGTTCTGTTTTACCCTAAAAAATCCTCTCCTCAACTCTGCTATCTCTTTTTAAAGTTAATGCTTTCTTTTTTAGTTTCCAGTTCTGAATCACATATAATTCATAATCACAAAGGGAAGAAAACTTAGCTTCTGTTTACTTCTTACATTCCTATATTTTTCTTTCAATATGACACTGAAAACTGGCTCAGTTTTAGGCATGATTATAGGAGAGCTCATGAAGCAATAATTGGGTACAATTAATTTTCTCTCCACAGCAAGGAGACACAGAATAAATATTTAAAAATATTTAATGTACTTATTTTATGTGCCCACTACTGCTTTCTTTTATTTGAAAGGGTTGGAAAATTGCAACTACTTAACCTACATCAAAATCTGAGAGTCTCTTACCCTTTTTCAGTTTCCGAACAGCCAACATACAATGACTAGGAGAGAGATCCCATATTCTTAAGGTTTTATCATCACTCACAGTAGCACAGATGGGCAGATAAGGATGTGTGGCCAAACCCCACACCTCTCCTTCCATGTGTCCCTATTTAAAAAACACAGTTAAGATTAATTTAACCTAACAATATGTGTAAATATATTATTTAGGTTTTAATTAGAACGAAACTAAAGATAACACTCAATAACATATCGGAAAATATTCTGGATAAGTCTAATAAAACTTTTCTACTTACCTTTGGAATATGTCATAAAAGCTTTAATAATGGCTTTATCCTAACAGTTACTATATAAACTACTATTAAAATCAGAATTCTGAAACATGCTCTGGGTAGCAGGAACATACCCTGGAATGGCTGTCATCACCACACAAGAGTAACTTCTGGCATGACAAAGCAATGAGCTCCACAAGCCTGTTCACCAGTGAAACTGGTGAAAATTATTAAAAAACAAAATAAAACAACCATTTAAAGTCCCTGAAAACAGACATACAGTAAATAAAGAAATATTTACTTTTTAGCAGAGAAACTACTAAAATTTGGTGAGAACCGTGGAAGTCTGTGGTACTTCCTTCAGTCAAGACCTGTTCCTTCCCTGCCTCCTCCTGTAACTCACAGAGCTGGAAACGACTGCAGGCTGCAGCAGCCAAGAACACAGGCTCTCTGCCCAGCTCTCAGTCTATGGGCTAGCTTCGCATGCAGTTACTTATTGCTAGGCTAAGTTTCAGGAGAGTGTAGCCAAGAGGTAGGGGCCTCCTTCTTCTTCCTCCCCCTATTTGTAGGATGGAGGTTCTACTTTGGGCACTACACCACTGAAAGAACTGGGGCCCTGAGTACCCCTGACCTAGAGCCTAAGGCAGCAGTTTCAAGTTGGGAGACTTAAGCTGAGAAGAGGCAACTGCCCTTCCCTTCCCCAAGTGCTCAGCTTCTAAAACAGAAGTGTCACTGAGAGAAGCACACCATTGTCTCCAGAGTCCTGGCTCAGAGATTTTGCCTGGAGGAAGAATCAGAGACTGTAGAACAGTCCTAATCTCCTCTCAAAGTAACAAAGTGTGTAAAAATTCAAGCCTAAATTGCTTTCAAAACCGGTGGAGGTTGTGATGAGCGGTAACTGGAAGGAGACTAGCTGATTCACTGAATTTATAGGCTAAACTGTAGGTCTGATAGTCTGTCCTTGAGAACTGGAGGAAAAAAACGGCTGAGAGGAGCCTGCTGGAGGTCAGAAAAAAATCTCAAACACTGATTTCAAGAACTATCCTTTTAACAGTCCAGGTTTGATGGGTATAGTCTGTGGAGCAATTTATGCCCTGAGGAAATGCTGTAAACATGGCTTTGAACAGGTACTTACCACTTCAGTTACGGCAGACAAAGTGAAACCAGAAGGGACCCAAATTTGTAAAATGTGGATGAACTGGAATGATAACTGGAACAAGAAAGAGTATGGGCTGATGTCCTGCTAGAAACTTAATCTCCCTCTTGGAAACCAATAATCCAGTCCCCTGCATCAGGCTCCCAAAATGGCTCACTACACCTCTTCTGAGTCTCCCTTTCAGGGCTTTGACCTGTAACTTTTCTCAATTCAGTTATCATCCCTCTTCACCTACATTTTACAAATTTGGGTCCATTTTGATTGTGCTTCATCAGTCACGACTAAATTGGTTTGAACTGGTTGGAAGTCCTGGTTGAAAACAATAGCATTATCAGCCAACAATTCAATGGAGTTTAACAGATAGATGTTGTCAGAGAAAGGAACAAAAGTCAGAGAAAGTGCCCAAACCACTGCCATCCAGGAGAAATGTGGCATGTCCAAGGATGTGCCTCCCTGAGAAGCAACATCAGAGGCTTAACACTGTGAGGATGGGGTGAGATACCACTGAAATAATCCAGCCAGTCACTAAACAAGTAAGCAAATAACAATAACAAGTGTCAGAGGAAGGAGGGTTGAACAGTATCAGAGTTGCTATAATATAGTATCAAAATGTCCAGTCTTTTATATACATAATATATATTATGTTCTGTCACTGGCTAATAAATTCTCCTTGATATGTCAGGATATTACATTAACATTAAAGCATGTGCAGAATATTAATCTATGTACTCTTTGGTGTCTTAACATGAGTGAAGTGGGAGTTAGAGAAGAAATAATTCTGTATTGAGAAATAATTCTTCTTCAAGGAAATGAAATCCAAAGTTTGGTCTTACTACAGAGTTGTATAAAGACAATTTTTCATCAGGATAAATCCTACCTCATTTTCTGTGTTTTTATTGACTTATATTCCTCCCTACTTTCCAGAAACATAGTAAATACAGGAGATGTATATCTAAAATAAGAAGCTCTGGTGGTATAGTGGATAAGGCATTTGCCTGCTAACCAGAAGGTCAGTGGTTCATAACCCACCAGCTGCTGCATGGAAGGAAGATGGGGCAATCTACTTCTGTAAAGATTTACAGTCTTGGAAACTCAGTGGGGTCACTATGAGTCAGAATTGACTTGATGGCAGTTAGTTTGGTTTTTTACATCTGAAATGCAGCATTCATAATAGAAATGTTAAGGATCATATGACCAGTAGCTAATCCTACTGTTTAATTTAAAATTTTTCCTACACATATTTTTGTATATTTGTTTTATCATTAATTATCTTTTCACTGATGTTTTCACTAATTGTTATCAGTTGAATTGTATCTCCCAAAAAAGATAAAGTCCTAACTCTTAGTATGACTTTATTACATAAATATTTACTTTATTGCCTAAATGCACATTTATTGCATATTGCATATGACTTTATTGCATAAATTTATTGCATAAATATCTTTGAAGATGTAATGAAGTCATGAAGGCATAATGGAGAAAGATGGGGCCCTAATCCAATATGACTGGTGTCTTTATAAAAAGATGAGAAGAGACAGACACAGACACAGAGAGAAGACGGCTATGTGAAGACAAAGGCAGAGACTGAAGTTATGCTACAACAAATCAAGGAACACTGGGACTACCAGAAGCTGGAGGAGACAAGGAAGGACCGTCCCCTAGAGCATTTGGAGAGAGCATTGCCCTGCCAACACCCTGCATTTGGACTTTTGGCCTCCAGAACTGTGAGTTTCTGTTGTTTTAAGCCACCTACTTTGTTGTAATTTGTTACAGCAGCCCTAGGAAACTAATACACTGATAAAACTTCAGCATACATTATGAAATTCATTTTTTGTTTTTCTAAGGTAGAAACTTGAGGGAAAAAAGAGCTAAAGAGCATTATAGGAAAACAACAGCCTTAGCCTCAATATACTTCAAAGGAAATTAAATATGAAATAAATTAATTACAACTGGTTTTCTTTCCATTGGTCTCTTATTTTGTGAAAAGAAATTACTTTAAAGTATTAGCAATTAATCCACAAAACAACATGCATATTTATTACTGATATTCACACATTTAGCTATAATTAACATTAACTACTATATCCTTAATTAATTAACACTGTTTTTCAGCACTGTCAACCTTTAGCTGCTTTGTACTGAAAGAATCAATTTTATGCAAAGAAAAATAACATATTGACATTTAAGATTACCTGGACCAGCAGTGTTATTGGGCCACTTTTATCAACTTCTAGTATTTCACCATTCTTTGTACCAACTAAAATATGACCATGTCCTAATGATATGGCACGTATAGATGGGTTATCTTCCAAGAGAAGACCTGAAATGTTAAATGGAGACGTTCTTTTAGGTATGTAGCTACTATAATAGAAAGATGTAAAATGCTGCCCATAATGCTGTTTTGACAACAAAAATCACACTACAAGGTTGCCTTCTCCTGTATTTAAGAATTTTAATAAATGATGAGACAAGTACATGTAAGCTTCTATATGGAAAGTGAATTTTCTCTGTAAACTTCCACCCAAATCACACACACACACACAAATTTAATAAATGTACTCCATTTTCCCAACCATTCAATGCACTAGTCTCAAAGGTAAGTACCACCTAAATTCTACGGGTTTATGATTCTATACTATCCCAGATCTCCTCTCAACATTATGACAATCATTTCTTTGCCACTTTAATAAGCCTTTCCTCAGCTACCTCCTGCCCTCCTCAGGGCACTCTATCAGTGTGCGGAGTGGCTGGTGGGTTTGAATTGCTAACCTTTTGGTTAGCAGCTGAACTCTTAGCCACTGCTGTGACCAGGGCTCCTATTTGGATTAGTAACTTTAATTCATCTCAACATACGATATATCTATGTATGCCTATGATATGTTAGGTAGGCCTGAGTGATATAGTGGTAAACATGGCAGACCTAGCTCCCACCCTCAGAGAGTACACAATGAGGAAAACAGACCCCGTCCAAGGAGCATATTGAAAAAGGAAGCAGATAGAAATGCAATTCCAGCTAGTTTTGGGTGGTTCATCCCAAAAGAAATAGTACTTGAGATCTGAAAAATGAGTATCTGGTCAGGTAACTGGAGGGGCCTAAAGTGAGGATGAGGGAAAATTATAGCATATGCAAATGCCTGGAGGTCAGACAATGTGGTGGAGGTCCCTGAAATGAAGAAATGCACAGACAGAAAGGGCCAAGGGGAGAAGGGACTAGGAGGCTGGAGAGTCTAGGTTACTACATGGAACAAATGCTAAGTTTGCAAACAAGTTCCTGACTGGTGGTAAATGAGATGCTCCTGTGATAATCTCCTACAGAAAGTTTAAACGTTTAATGTTAGCATTAATACCCTATATTTGGCTGATGTTTTACAATGTGTATCACAGAAAATAGATTTTGCAAGGATCGCAATGATTCTGGTATCCAGGTTAAGTAGTTTCTCCCTCTTAACTCTGATGCTCATCTAGTAAAAAAGGAAAAACATATTCAAAGTGCTCTAATTCAGTAACCAAGCATGTTAATGCACAATTACCTATTTTTACACAAATAGTGCATGCCTTATACATTATTTTTGCAAACAGTGCAACCCCCTCACCGTGTTAGTTTTCTATGCACCCAATCCACCTGATGTGCATGTGTGTGCTATTGGCATGGGTGTATTATATGCAAAAAAAGTACAGTAATCTCTTTTCCTACAAAGTAAATTAAATCTCAAATCACCTTTAGATCCTGGGGCCAAAGCAGCTCTTTTTATAGCATAAGTCTTGAGACATCTCTCAAAGGAATCATCCCAAAGAGCTATAACACCATCTTTCCCTCCAGTTACAAATCCCTATGAAAATAAAAGATTCAAGTTAATAAAGATCTATGCTAAAAAAATAATATTCTCCTTTATATTGAAAAATTCTAGATGAAAGAATATTTATAGTTGAAAGTTACAGCTTGTAAACAGCAAGATTTAGCACAAGAATCTTCCCCCGCCACCCCAGTACCAACATGGAATCTGTTAACTACTTACAGGGACACTAAACATTCCACTTTAAAAATACAGTTTCAAATTTGGATGCATAAGGTAGGTCTGCCACTCTTCACAAGCATATTTTTCTGCAGACTTTCTAACCTAATCCTTTGAAAAGAAAGGATAAGAATAGTACCTACTTCATAGGATATGGTGATTATACATAAAGGACTTACTTAGCACTGTTCAACATGAAGTAAGAGCTTAATAACTATTAAACTTTTTTAAAAACAGCCGACCTATTTCACTATGTGTTCAACAGTTTGAAAAGAGAGACAAAACAAGGTTAGGAAGCTTCAATCTACCACTCTCCTGACAAGACTCCACAGATTATTATTGTGTGGCCCAGCCAGGCAGAAAGAAAAGGCTCCATTAACTTCTGAAAATGCTCTGTGCTCCATGACCAAATTATGCTTAACTGAAACTATCTTTAGGTTACTTACTTTTTCTAGCGCATGCATACTGAACACTGGGCCATCATGTGCTTTGATTGTTTTCACTAGAAAGATGTCTCTCCAGATACACACATCTCCTGTGGATGTTCCAGAGAAAGCCATCTCTTCTGTCCATCCATACACAGCACACATCATTGTATCATTCTTCTCCAGTGTGCCTATGTAGCCTCTTCTTCCAATCAATCCTCCCCCTAGTTCATAAAAAATATTATGAAAGTACCGCATTCAAAATATGTAAAATTATAAAGCAGTGAAATGTCCTTTCTATTTTTTTTAAAAAATAAAAAGATATATAATAATAAGGAGTATATTTGGATAACACCTTGCCTGGCTGTGGCAGCCATACCCATGGCTACTTTTAGGCTACAGATCTCTGAATAAACAAAAACATGGACTAAGTTTGAACCACTCAACACATTAGATAATGATTTTCAAAATTTGTATTATAACATATTTAAGAATAGTAGAAGGTATAAATAAAACCATACAATGAACACCCTATGTAGCCATTATCAACCTAAAAATAATTACTACAACAATAGAAACAGCATGCCAATCCCATCTCCCTTCTTCACTCCCTGCTATGCTGAATGTGATATTGATTGTTGTCATGCATTCTTTTATATGTTTACTACATATTTATGAATTCTTGAGTAATATATCATATTATTTTTAATGTTTTAAAATTTTCTTTAAATACCATGCTATATATTGTTGTCGTTATGTGCTGTTGAGTTGGCCCCAACTCATAGCGACCCCTCCTTGGGTTTCCAAGGCGGTTATCACTACAGAAGTAGGATTGCCCAACCTTCCTTCCAAGGAGTGGCTGGTGGGTTTGAACCGCCAGCCTTCTGGTTAGCAGTCAAGTGCCTTAAGCACTATGCTACCAGAGCTCCTATATCTATATAGATATCTATATCTATATCTATCTCTCTCTCTCTATATATATATATTCTTCTCAATTTTCTTTATTCACCAACAATTTGCTATGGAAACTTATACATGTTTATTTGTACCTTTACAAAAATCATTTTTAATACTATATATTCCACGATAAGGAGCTCTGGTGGCACAGTGTCTAAGGCATTTGACTGCTAACCCAAAGGCTGGTGGTTCAAACCCACCAGTCACTCCATGGAAGGAAGACTGGTCAATCTACTTCCATACAGATTTACTGCCAAGGAAACCCAGTGGGGGTCGCTATGAGTCAGAATCAATGGACCTCCAAGAGTGTAGTGGCTATGGCATTTTGCTGCTAACCAAAAGGTCAGTGGTTTGAACCTACCAGCTGCTCTGAGGAAAAAAGATAGGGCAGTCTGCTTTTGTAAAGATTTACAGCCTTGAAAACCCAATGGAGATCACTGTAAATTGGAATCGATTTGATGGCAGTGAGTTTGGTTTGGTTTTTATATGAACATACTACAGTTTATCATTTTTTCTATTAACAGGCCTTTAAATTGCTTCCACATTTTTACTATTGAAAACAATGTTGCTTTAAACATTCTTATAAAGGCCTCTTCCTTATAAGTACAAGATTTTCTCTAGGAATGTCACTGTAAGCAAAAGGAAAAGCATATAACAAAATGATCAAGGCAAAGGAAGGCACTGGGATGAACTTAAGAGTTAAAGACAACAAAGGTAAATACTATTACATACCAATCCTGCAATAATAGTATGGATACACAAGCTGAACAGGGGTGAGAAGGACTATTCCCATGAGTATATATAGGTTCAACAGAAGATATTTCTACATATATATTTATAAATGGTACAAATATATCTATGAATATAGTAGAGCATACAGAGGACAAAGTTATGAAAACTTCGTAGTCATAACCAAACACCTTGAGGGAATGAATTACTGGACCTGGGGGTTCAGGACCAGTCTCTCAGGACACCCAGGTCAACTGGCATACCGTAGCCCACAGAGACAATGTTCTATATCCTACTTTGGTGAGTAGTGACTAGGGTCTTAAAAGGTTAAGAGCAGCCATCTAAAGTGCAACTACTGGTCTCTCACAGTCTGGAGCAAAAAAGAGTGAAGAAAATTAAAGATGGAAGGAAACAATTGGTCCAAAGGACTAATGGACCACATGACCCAGCCTCCATGACCAGAGGAATTAGATGGTGCCCAGCTACCACTGCTGACTGCTCTGAAAGGGATCACAATAGGAGGTTCTTGATAGGAGAAACTGTGGAACAAAATTCAAAGTCATAAAAAAACTAGGCTCACTGATCTGATAGAGACTGATGGAGGCCCCAAGTCTATGGTCCTCAGACACTTTCAATGTAGGAACTGAACTCATCCCCATGGCTCAACTTCCAGGCAAATGACAGACAGGTCTATAAGGTAAACAATAACACCAGGGAGATATACACTCCCTGGGACAATCAACCTATGAGACCACGAGGGCAACATGTGTCCAGGGATAGAGCTCAGAGGAAGGAAGGGATAAAGTATTACAAACAGAGATGATAAAACACAGGAAGAAAGTGGGAAGAGTGCCGTTACATAGTGGTAATCGCAATCACTGTCACGTTTTAAAACAAAATGTTTTATGAATCTTTGAAAGGAAAACCAATTTGCTCTGCAAATTTTCACCAAAATCACAATAAGAAGTTAAAAAAAAAAGAAGAATAGTAGATATATAGGAGAGAGATCAATTCTTGCCAAATTGTTCTGCAAAGATGGTGTACCAACTTACACTCCCATTAACAGTGAAGAGTTCCTACTATTTTCTACCTTCAGGACACTTAGCACTGTCAGGCTGACTTTTAATGTGGCTTTAATTTTAATTTATTTTATTATTAATAATCTCATTCTTTTCATATATTTATTGACCATTCATTATCTACTGGTATATTTTGCTCATTTTCCCAATTAAACTCATTCATTCATTCACTCATTCTTTCATATACAGGGCTCCCAAGCAGAAGTATGACTGTAATATGTTGTTGTTGTTGTTGTTTGCCGTCGAGTTGGCCCCGACTCATAGCGACCCCTCCTTGGGTTTCTGAGGCAGTATCACTACGGAAGTAGGATTGCCCAACCTTCCTTCCGAGGAGTGGCTGGTGGGTTTGAACCGCCAGCCTTCTGGTGAGCAGTCAGGTGCCTTAGGCACTATGCTACCAGAGCTCCTTGACTGTAATATAGGGAGGTCCAAATAGAAAAGAAAAACATAAAGGAGACAGTAATGGAAGATAGAGTCAGAGAAATCAAAGGCAGCACTGAAGCCATTTTAAGGATTTAACTGTTATTCTAAATGAGACAGGAAACATTTGGATAGAAGAACAACAAATACAATTTATTAACAAGTTCACTCTGACTTGTGGGTTGATGATACATTGAAAGGGAGTAGTGTCAAGGATGAAGAATTAAAAGACTACTTTAATCATCTGAGCAAATGACAAAGGTAGATCCTAGTTGGGAGCAGGGAAGATGATGAAAAGTGGTCAGATTCCAACTGTGTTCTGAAAATTATTTTTATCTTAATATAGCAGCCAGAGTAGCTAGAACGCTGCAAGAACAGTTCAAATGGAGCAGTAAGGGGAAATATCTGATTAGACTTCTCTCAGGACAAAGAAGATGATAAATTGCAAATAAAAAATGTAAACAACTCTTTGGAAGTGTTTTAATTTATTGTTGTAGTTTTAGTATATAGTGAAGAAGAAAAATGGATTAGCAATTGGAGAATAAAGAGTTTTTGGTTTGTTTTATTTATTAAGGTAGATAAATAACACCATGCTGGTATGCTGAAGGGAGCTCTGGTGGCATAATGCCTAAGGCATTTGACTGCTAATCAGAAGGCTGACGGTTCAAACCCACCAGCCACTCTTCGTAACGAAGGTTAGGCAATCAACTTCTGTGGTGATACTGCCTCGGAAACCCAAGGAGGGGTTGCTATGAGTCAGATCCAACAAGACGGCAGTGAGCTTGGTTTTTTTGTTTTTGGTATGCTGAATGGAAAGAGTCAGTGGAGAGGGAAAATCGATGCAGCAAGAGGGGCAGGGAAGGAGTTGGAGTGACACCCATGCATGGGTGAGAGGAGAAGGAATCTAGTGCACAAGATGGGATGGGCTTACTAGAACACGGACACAAGGGTTAGCAAATTACCTGTCAGACCAAATCCTGCCACCACTTGCTTTTGTTTAGTGCCCACTAGAGCAGGTTAGCACTGGAGGTGGAGGAGATCAAGGTTGTTTCTGCCTCTGTTGCACAGCCTGTCTCCCCAGCTGATGGGCTGCCCTTTGCAGCTGCCCAGGGCCTGCACTGGTCAATGCCTAAAACCCAGGGACTCTGCTAATGGCACCTGCCATGCACTAAACAGCAGACTCTCCAGTTAGGCTGGAGGAGAGGACACATTGCAATCTATATGTCACTGAGGCAGAGAGTGAAACTGACCATGATGCCTTCCATTCCAGCCCACCAACTTCCTTCCCCTCAGTAGGTTGCTCTTGAAGCAATTAGGCACAAACCAGGTAAGGTAGGGCTGGAATTTTTTCTCTTATTCCACAATACCCACATGTGGTAGTTTGGTTTGTGTGTCAACTTGTCTGGGCCTGGCTGAGTGGCTGGGCTGCTGGTGGTAGTTAATCCCCATCAGGAGACTGGCAATCAGCTCCATGGTGGGATCTACCACAAGCAGCTGAGTAGCTGTCTTTGGGTATGTGGTCTGCTTCCTGTATATAA